TTGAGAATATATAAATAAGTGAAAAATTGACATTGGGAGAGGTTAACAAAACGTGTAATTATGATATAAGCACAGGATTAGAGTAATTTTGGTTGAACATTACAAGCAGTGTACTTTAGGTATTAACTTTTAATAGGCAAAGTTCTTTTAAGCAAAGTTGAAGTGAGGTTTAGTAATTTGGGGTCTTTTATTACCTTTGAATATTTCATTTTAAAATAGGCATAGTCACTTGTTTGTGGGGAGGAGAAATTGAAGAATGGATGACATTTGAGGAGAATATCATAATTGTGGTTCAAAATTTCAGCCTTAGACACCAGCAATTTATTGCTGATCATTTTCTGTTCACTAAAATCAAATGAAAAAAATACATATATTCTAACCAACTAGAGTGTGTTAGAAGAATATTCCTTAGGGTAACACTTTGATTTCTTTCCCTAGGTGGGTGTGGTTGAAAGAAAAATCTTCGTTCCAGGAAAGTTGTGTTTGCCTTTTGCTAAACAAATGTGTAATGTATCCACTCTTCATTCATTCTTAGATGCGTCTGCTATGTATGAATTAGAAAGGGGAATACGTCTTACATAGCGTTTATTGGCAGTCCTTGCTTCATGGGCAACTTTGCATAGGAGTATTTATTTATATGTATATAAAACACATAAGGAAAAGGGGAGTAGCTGAAGAATTTAAATAAGAATTCTCGAATTTGTTTTCTCAGTATACTAGGGAAAAATAAACATGCCAGCCAGTGGAAAATTTGTGTAAATGTATCGGAAGGAAATTAATTTAACGCAGAGCCTTAGGAGGCTGATACAGGATCATAGTTTTAGATCTGGAAAGCGGTCTCAAATTCGTAATTTTATACTCTGTTATGCACACCTTTCCTATTAAAGTGACCACACTTCGTCTGAGGGAAACAAAAGGTCTCTCTGATAAAGTAAACCCACCTGCCTACGTTCCAGGGAAGAAGCTGGGCTGCCCTCCTGAAACCGACGCGTCGGACTTGGCTCTTCTGAGTCTTGTCTTTCCTCTGGATCCTCTTCACTCACACCTCGCAGTAACTTCCATAGCAGTTACCCCCCTCCTGGGCTCTCTCTGGCTCTGTAAATATGAAAGACAATTCCTCTAGGGATAGCTGATTACAACATTGGAGATCTGCCTCTCAATGATTTCAAAATTTTGGTCCAAATGGGTGGTTCCATTCATAAGCAACAAATTTATTAGAATTTTTGATTCGGCATTGCCAAACATTGCCACATTAGAACAGACCCCGCTGCGCCTCTGGTCTGTGAGTGTGGAAAGAATTTAATGGGGAGGGGTATTAGATTATTAAAATATTAGGCTTGCAAAATTTAAGATTGGTCCTGTTTCCTATTACACGAGTAGAAAGTTATGTAAGTGAAAGGTGCATCAATAATATTAAATTGCTACAAGAACTGAGCACTTCAAAATAATAAGCTGCTTTAACCAGAGTAGAGTGAATTTGACTTATGACTGGCTGAATTCTACAATTCTCTATGAAGTATATCATATTTCACTTGATCAGAGGTCACTATTCTCGTCCTTGCTATTGTAAATTAGTTAAAACTCTATTATCTTTACTATTACTATTGAGACATTTTGTCATAATGAAAAATTCATTAAACTTGAGGTTAAAAGATGACGCAAGAAGGGGTTGGGGATTTAGCTCAGCGGCACAGCGCCTGCCTGGCAAGCGCAAGGTGATGAGTTCAATCCCCAACACCGGAAAAAAAACAAAAAAACAAAAAAACAAAAAAAAATGAGGCAAGAGTCTCCCGTTTATCACTGTGAGATCCTGGACCACTTGCTTGGGTGTCTCACCATTAGTTTTCCCACCTCTACACTGGGAAATATTAACAAGTCATAATGCTAATAGTAAGGGAACAAAAGAGATATATTATATGTGAAAGGCCTTTGGAAATGTTATTGCTTTATTATCAGTACCAGAAATAGCAGTAATTTTGCTTTACTTTCTAAATAGGAAAACAGTTCATCACTCCCTCATATTTTTAGTTTGGAAAAAAAGGCCTTTTTTCATTTGTTTTCTTCTGTAATACAGGCAACAATTCCGGAAAAGTGAAAAAGAGAAAGGAATATAATCCTGTATTTTGCTTTAGAGATTTTTGTCTTAGAGATTCTGAGTCAGGTATTCTTGATGGCAGCCAAGAGCCCTCCTTTCTATGGGTGACCTATGTGATTCTAATGTTGTGGGCAGTCCTGGGACCATGGACACTGTCTCCAGAATGAATAGACAGTCATAGGGCACATTGCTGTGGGCTTAGAGTAGAGAAAACATGCTGTTCTCTTTTTTCCAACAAGTTTGGCTAATGTTTTAAAAACTGCAAGAAGGAAAGGGGAACAAATATGTTGAGCTTGGTTGAGGTGGATGGGGTGGAGAGAGAGAAAGAATATCTAAGCACAGGAGACTGCCGGGAAGCTGATTCCACATAGAATGAAGAATTAGGAAGAGGTTAGAGATAGTATTGTTATGAAAAATGGTCAGAGATGGAGGGCATAGCAGGAAAGTGAAGTGGACCCAAGAGTCCTGGAGACGGCTTCTGTAAAAATAACTGTGAAGGACCTGTTCTTCCCCCTTCTTTCAACCTGAAAAGCAAAGCTTTCTCCATTTTATTTCTAGAACACTTGGAGAAACTGATGCAGTTTTTGGCCCTTCATAGAAAACCAGTGGAATGACTGGAGCTGGTTTGGGGATCACCAGTATTTACTGTGTACCTACAGTACTTACTGTGTACCTACAGTACTAACTGTGTACTGGAGCTGGTATGAGATGCTGAGCTTGCAGAAAGGATTAAGTTCCAGCAGTTCATGGCAGTGGCCCCTTCTCTCCTTCACAGTGTCACAGACAAGCAGAGCATAATAGAGAATATAATAATACAATTGACACATTAAGGATTGATTCTTGAAATAGAACCTAGAGAGTCTGATTTTCTAAAGATATTTAGTGACTATTTCCATGAGAAATTTTTTAGGTTTTAATTCTACAGAAAAGCACAGGCTTGAACCCAATGTTTTAACATAAGTGTCCTGGTTTGTTATAAGACTCTCAAATGACATAGCTCAGCATCTGAAAAGTAGTTTTCCTTTGGGAGTTTACCTTCAACGTAAAATACATTTCCTTTTAATTAAGTGTACCAGCTGATAAAGTGGCTACCCACAAGCCAGGCAGGAGTCTAAGAAGTGTAAGCCATTAAAAGACATCATCTTGCAAGCCACTAAATACTCCATTCGTGGAGAAGCCTCCAGCCTGAGGAACTAAGTGGACATGATTGGAAATGCACCAGGGAACCGGCCTCCTCTCTGAAAAGGTCCCCTGTGCACCTTCCACCAGCACTGTGATGTGTCATCATTATGTCCTGTCCTAACTCATTCGACTCCCACTGGCTACCAGATGGCCACGATATTGTCGGTATCTTTAACAACTGTCTTCTGTGGTTCCCCGCAGCATGGTAAGGGCTCAAAATATTGAGTGTTTTCCCTTTGGATAAGCAAGTGACAAGTCTGGGGATGGCTTACAACCGTGCCAGTAGTTGGTGATGGAGAGTGATGGCAAAGTGGGTCAAGGAGCCTAAATCCAGCTTGACAGTGTGTGTACATGGCACGCTACCAAAGGAGGTGTTTCCGATTTCTCCAGCGTAGAGGGAAGGAGGATTTAACTGCACCGAATCTGACTTTTATAAATGCGCACAAAATACAGTAAGATGTAAATAATCATTAGGATTCATTCGATGTGCTGAAATATTCTTCAGAGTTAAGTCGCTTCTGATGGAACTCTCTCGCAGTGATGCTTGGGGAGTCCTCTCAGCATGGCTCTATGAGAGAGGCCAAGGTACCAGGTGGATTTGAGGGACATTAGAAGTTAGGGGGTAGGGGATAGGGAGGGGGGGGAAGATGGATATATCAATCAAGTTGAGATAGATCATGTTCCAATGGCCCCTAAACCATAGCAGTTAAAACATCAAGAGTTTAGTTTCTGCTTATTCTTGGCATCTATTCTGGATCAACAAGAGTCTCTGATTCACATTAGTTTTACCCCAGGACACAGCCTAGGAGAGTAGCTGTTGTCTGAACCACTATAGATGGCCAGGAAAAAAAAAAGGGGGGGAATTATGGTTGGTGGTTCACTGTCTTTTATTTTCCTTTTAGATAGGGTCTTGTTTTGCAGTTCAAGCTGGACTTGAAGTCACTACATAGTCCAGGTTGGCCTCAAACTCACCATAATGCACCTGCCTCCCAAGTGCTGGGATTACAGGCATGTGCCACCACGCCCCGCTTGCACTCATTCTTTAAAGCGGTCACTGCTTCTGTCACATTTCGTTGGCCAAAACAAGGACTCCCAAGAGAGTGGGAAGCAAAGCTTTCCCTCGGGCCCACAGAGAACAGGAAATATTTGCTGACGAGCAATAATGTGAACCCCAGAGAAGATGGCAGTGCTATCTGGATCCATGGACATCTCTTTGGGGCCAGATGACCTTTTTGAACACTCCAAGCACCTCCAAAATTTCACAGTTCAATATAAAAGTAATACCAAACTCTAAATATGAAGAAGCTCAAAAAATGTATGCATTGTCCTTCCATGATAACATTAATGCTTACAAAAATAGGTCAGATTCTCTTAAAATAGTTTTTAATTCTGCTACTCACCAACGGCACAAACATGACTTTAACATGTCCACAGGGCTATCTCACTCCTCTCTTCTTCACAGGAGGTAATGTTCTGAGACACCCCTAAGGCTGTGTGTGTGTGTGTGTGTGTGTGTGTGTGTGTGTGTGGCTGGATTGATAAAGTATAGCAGGAGGATGCTGGCTTTGCTAGACTGGGGTAAAGTTGGAGTGACATAAGAACCTTGGGGAGAATGATGTCTGCAGCCCAAAGCCAGAAGTGGTTATACAAAGTATATCAGGGCTGTGACTGTTTTCTCTCTTGGAGGGAAAATGGTAATAGTACTGTTTTCTCATTTGTCTAGGGGAGGACGAGGAAGAAATGAATGTGATCGTTCTCAGCTACCCTCAGTACTGCCGGTACCGCTCCATGCTGAAGCGCATCCAGGATAAGCCGTCTTCCATTCTAACGGACCAGTTTGCATTAGCCCTGGGGGGCATTGCAGTGGTCAGCAGGAACCCCCAGATCCTGTACTGTCGAGACACGTTTGACCACCCCACTCTCATAGAAAATGAGAGTGTATGCGACGAGTTTGGTGAGTCTATATTTTTCCTACCTAAAACATGTGTGTGTCTGTGTATCACTGTTTTCAGTTTTGGTGATGAGCGCTGCGGGGGAATGGACTCATTTTCGCAAATCCATGTCCCACCCTGCCCTGCCACCCTTACACTGTTGCAGCGTAAGGCGCCAGGGCCTTCTTGGAGGCCTCCACTTACCATGGGTAAAAGATTATTATTTGCAGTTTGTTGCTCAATATAAAGTTTAAAGTCTCTTGGTTGACCTTGAAATTAGACCTTAGGACAGGTTGGAAGCTGTCATGATCTTTTGTAAAATGCTTTGGCTATTCAAATGTGAATTATTTTAAATTTGCCTAATCACTTTCTTTTCTAAGGCAGTACTATAAAAATGCACAAATTGTAACTACTTTTGCACAAAAGGTGAATTAATAGATAGACAGATAGATAAATAGATAGATTGAGACTGATATGTCATGAATATGTTCTCCTCACATACAGACACATACTGCCCACCAAAGATGGGTGTATATATATATATATATATGCATATTTATCTTCATCTACATCTCTGCTAGCTGGGTGGTCCTGAAGAGAGATGGGATTAGGGGAGAAGTCTGGGAAATGTGCATGGCACAGTGACGAGAGGGGAGCCAAGATGTCTGTTCTCCCACATTCTCGCCTTCTCACTCATTTGTTGAAGAGATGGATCACATCAGTGATTCTCCGGAGATCAGGAACCCTTGTACTTACAGAGGCATGGACACCCACAGCCTCACCCTAGCTCTTCCCTGGGAATCACCACTGTGGATGGGATGACGGGGGCCTGTGGGGTCCCTCAAAGCACCTGGCTATGGAAGAGGCTGAGATCTCTGGCTTAGAGAGGAGCATAGGATCCCTTTGAGCTGGGACCTCCTCTGATTCTGTTGGCTTGTTTCCCCAAGGACCCCTCATTTGTAGGTTGTTCAAGTTCCAGTTATCTTGCTTAACCACAGTGGATCTCAGCATGGTTTGCAGAGCCCCAGTATAGCCTCTTGAATGTGATTCTTTATGACCCCAGTAGCCCTGTTGCTGCTCCTGGAAAGGGTTTTATTAAGTAGTTGTGTGAACGCAAGCAGGTGGAGTGTGACGCGATAGGAAATAGTGACACAAGAAGCAAGGCAGGAGAGAGGAAAGGAAATGCAGTCATCTAAGCTCATTAGGGTCTAAAGGCCATGACCTTTCTGTGTGTAAATTGTTTCATCCAGTGTCTTTTATATTTCTGACTTATCAAATGATTCCACCTGTAAAGAGGAAATAGGGTTTGTACAAATTATATTTTCCTCCTTTAAAGAAAGATGGTTCCTCTTATGTGAGAAAACCAAAATATAAATAAACAACAAAATAAAGGATAGGTGATAGGAAGAGGGAGACAGACCTTTCTCAAAGGGGAAGGAGATAAAGAGATGGACGGAGGGGAGAAGGAAAGGAGGGAAAGGGGTGAAGGAAAGAACTAAGATGTATTACGTATGTGTATCAACTCCCGCAAGGAGTGCAATGGTTATGTAATGCACATATGTACTAATGAAGAATAAAAACGGAAAACAAATTACAAACAAAAACATTTATCGTTGTGCTTTTAAATATTCAAATAACCTTTTTATTCAAGCAGATAAATGTATCTGGTATAGTTTTTAAAAACCCTCTCTTTTTAGATTAGGTTTTGCAAATCTTCTCCTTTTAATACTTGTGAGCTTTTTCTCTGTCCCCTGCTCCTAAATTCTATATTCTGCTTGCTGCTCAAGAGGACTGTAAATTCCTGACACAGAAAAAAACTGAAAGAATGTTTTCCCTCATTTAAGAGCATTTGAAATTAGAGTTTCACAATATAATATAATGAAAAAAATGTTTTAACCTTTTGGACTAATTTAAGAGTTATTAGTCATTGAGTTTCAAAGCTGTGACATCTAGAATTGGTAATAAAAGTTCCAATTCAACCGTCGTCACAATGGCTGTTAAGAGTTACTAAATTAGTTTTAAATGTTCTTGCAAACACAAGCATCTGACTTTTGAATGTTTTCCTGGACTTCGTTCTGTTACAGCTAATTTCAATGCTTTTTTTTTTCCTTCTTTAGCCTCTTAAAGTAGAAGCTTTCTTTTGGAATAAAGGTACCTTTAAGGAGCTTTTTACAGGGCCATCTTAATAATTAGAATATTAGAGGTTTTAGTTAAGTTTGCACTTCAAATAGTTTGTGTTTTTTAAAGTAGCTCATGTTAGCAAGGGAACAAAAAAGGTTATTCTGACCCAATTCGATCACCCTCACCAGCGTGCCTCCTCCACCTCCTATTTTGGGCCACACATTTAACTTTCCAGAGAACGCCGAACACCCTTTTAAACTTCCAACTGGTTGTACTTGAGATCAACACGGGTTAAAGTGTTTGTTAAAATGTGGCATTGGGTTTCTCCCACCAACTAACAGTTGGTAGGAGAACATAAATTTAATTAGTGACTAGCATTAAACAAATGCTTCTAATATTAAACACCGCCAGATGACTGAAACACTTCTGTCAGATTACCGAGAGTGCCAGGGGACCCACAGATGAATTTTCTAAACAGTATATATTCTGTGCCACACGTTTGGCGATTTCAGTAATTGGTCAAGTGTAATTTAGGTAACAGTATGCCTAGGCTGTAAAACTCAAATTTTATTAGCCGTATCACCAGGTGGATGAATAGTAGAGCTGATGGCAAGAGTTTATAGCATTTAGCAGCTACACCTTTGACACGTGAAATACATAAATTGCCATAAAATCCCTCTAAGGTCCTTCTCAAAAGGACAGTGTCTGCTTTGCTATGATGGAATGATGTTTATTTTATTGACCAATATATTTTTTGCTGTCTTTTAGTGCATAGAATTATGGAGTGGAGGCGGGAGGGGTATGCAAAGGATAAAACATTTCTTGCTTGTTTTGACGATTTAAAATCTAATTGGGGAAGACAGGATTATTGCACCTGAAAGGTTAACTAATATTCTAGGAGAATCAGTGGTGAAGTGTCTGGAGAGTGTCCCCGTGGACAAGTGCGGTAGGAATTTAGCAGTGGTCGGAGTGAGTGGGGACGGCTAAAGGTGAGTCAGGTTGAGAGGTCAGGGAAGTGTCCTACAAAAGGCAGGAATTGACTTGGCTTTCAAAGATAGAGACTGGGCTTTTAGGAAAGTGTTAGAAAAGTGCAGATTGTTTAAAACCCTGCTCCTGCCTCACCATGTTAGCAACTGGCCACCCTCAACCTGGGTCAATGGTTGGTCTCTCTTAGGTTTGTTCTGCCCTTAGTCGCCACTCTTTGGGGGGGTGGGTATAAGGGGCCCAATGCCCTCTCTACTAGAGGGACAGGAATGTGAGCCAGTGGGCCAGGCCTGAAAAGAACACAGGAAGTGGCTTTGGAATCGGAACTAGCGCTCTCTCTTAGATAGGGATGACCCACATTTCTCCTCTGGGTGCCATCCGTGTGGCTTACCTTCATTCCCTAGATTCACTTCTGAGAGAGACTTCTCTGTGTGACAAACTGGCTCAGCTACCCAGGCAGCACCCGCTCCTCACTATATTTTAATGTTGTCCACTGAATAACAACTTTAATGGAACAATAAACGTAAGGCTTTTAAATCCGCAATGAGTCCCTGTAAATAAATTCTCCGTGGAATTTTATGAAGCTGTTTAATGAACAGTTTGATTAGAAACTATTAAAGAAAAATAGAATAGATGAAATTTCATCATTTAATCCAACATCTCAGCGGTGTCAGTTTGATTTTTATTTACATTGAGATATTCAGAATAGTGTAAATATATCCTGGCTTTAATTAACTGCCCTCCTTACTTGGGAAAGGTTATTTTAGGCTTGAAGGGTTTGATAGCATGCCATCTGCTTTCTTCAGTGTGTGTTATTCAGGTCCCCTCCTTACTTATAGCGCTGTGCAATGTCTACACCTATAACACAAGCGTAAACTGAATCATATTAACGGTATGTGATGGAAAAACTTCAGCCTCGACATCCTCCCTGCATTCTTCCCCTTGTCAATTACGCTACTCTACAGACAGCAGAAGTTCTTTCTTAGCACAAGAGAATTGACTATTTTTAAAACTAAAGCAATGGACATCCCATTAAAGCATTATGAAGACTCATTGTATTGCACATGCAATTAGGAAATCAGATTATAATGACAAAGAAGTGAAAGTGACATGAATGGCAATTTTTTCTTCATAAAAATCTTTAATCTATGCATAATTCTTACCCCAACTGTCCTGTTAGAATCTCCTGACATGAGGCATTTTCCAACCACCCTTTTTTTTATTTTTACCTCTTTTTATAATGATTCCTCTTTTATAAAACACATGCTGTCATTTATATTGTGTTATTGTCTATGCTTTAGAAAAAGCAGGCAAACACTTTGTGTGTTTTTGCTGTTAGAACAATAAAGTTTCGACCATTTTGTAATGCACGATGCATACATTAATATCATACAGATTGATTTCACATGTGTGAAGTGTTGACAGCTAAATCCAAACAGAGGCACTTGCACGATAGTAGATAAATGGAGAATTTAAGGTACGGGCTCCCCTCAGAGAGATGAAAAGTAATCCGGAATGTGTAAGTGAGAAGAAGTCAGTTCTTAAAAATAGGTGGTACCAAATGGCGTAGGATGGGGATGACTTTAAAAAAGACATGCTTTATTTTGTTTTAATTTTGAATTGCAAAGAGACACAAGAAATCAAAGTATGCTTCCATGTTTGCTGGCATTTGGAGGTGTTTATGTGTGTTTCTTGACCAGGAGGAGGATGGGGTTAGAGGAAGGCTGTGACCACTCATGTGGAAAGCAAAGAGATGAGATGGACTGTCACCAGGTGTTTGGTCCATGTGTGGACACCGTGAGCTTTAATCTTCAGGGAGAAGAACTTGGCTGTGTCAGTAGGAAGACAGAGATTCTGCTGTGGCTGGGGAGGAGGATAGCACGGTACAGGAAAGAGCCTACGCTCGCAGGCAAATAGGTCAGGTTTAAATCAGGGCTCAACCATCTGATTGTCTGTGCCTCTGGGCAAGTGACATGAGGTCCCTCACTCCCCCATCTGTAGAGTTGGGCAATCACAGCCAACTTACTGGGCTCAAAATAAGTCTGTATTCAATTGATTTTTTTGAAAATCCTCTTGATAAATGAAGATCCTCTACTGTTTCTGTCGGAGTCTTAGGTCTTGAGCAACCCGCATTCATCAAAAATGATCCTGTTCTTTGAATAATAGAGGAACCCAGAGTCTTGCTAGAACCTTACTGGAAAAGAAGTATTCTACTTTTTATAGTACTCTTTAAAGGAGCTCCTCTGTTCTGCAGTGAATATTCCCTTTCCTTCTTTCCTGTTGGTTGAAATAATGACATGATAGACTACACAAGAAAAAGCAAAGGAAGAAAGCAGAACAGATAAGGGGACAAAACCTTGAATTTTTTGTGAAAGAAAACTCTGGACATATACAATTATTTTGAAGCATAAAAGACAAGCTGGACTCTGCCTCTTCTCCTCTGAGCATCACGTGTTTTGCTGGAAATGAAAGGAAAGGCAATGTTTTGTTAAGGATCATGGGAATGTGTAAGTGAGTAAACATTTTTTTCCTTGCCAAAGTAAGTTTCATGGTCGCAGTGGATTTCGATGATAAAATGGCCTTGCTCCTGGCCCCGATCCACACTCAGGCTTTCGCTGCCTGCCTGAGATGCCCACCAATCTCCTCAAAGATAACAAGGCAGACATTGTTCTTTAACTGGGAGAAGAGCCATGCTTCTTATATGTAACTGTTTATGCAGAAGACATTAACCTTCAGAGGTCTCAGTTCTTTGTCTTAGAAGTTTTCTGAAAGTTTTATTGATCAAGAGAGAATGGCCTAAGTAAATCAGTCTTGGTATCATCTTCTTATTGCCTGTGCCACCAAAGTAGGGACAGAGAGAATGTTAGGGGCTTCACAACATAGCAACCCAAATCCAAATAAATCTGCCGGTAGAGGTGTATCAGATGTGCCCCATCATACCTGTGACGACTAACGTGTAGGCTTGGCTTCTAGGACAGTAAGGCAAAGCAGCACCTGAGAGTAGACCTCCTTAGAGCCCGTGGGATCTGGAACAGCATCTCTTTTAGGATTCGTGAAAAGAACTTTTTGTTGTGACTCTAAATTAATTTACAGAGTCATGATCTGTGGAATTGGTAAGATTAGTGGATTTCTTTTCTATTTTTTGGAAGTTTAAGGGAGATTTAAAGATAACTCTGAGCTCTATCTGTGGCTGAGTGGACTCTGTGGCTTGTTAAACACTCTTCAGAATAATGGGTACAATAATCTCGTTTAACCCAGAGTTATATCTATATCGCAAATATTTCACCTAACATTTCACTTAGAAAAACAAGAAAGATCACCCACTATATTAGCAAGATCAAATATTCCTCTCTGGGGTAAAACAGATTTCTTTTTATCAAATAAGCAAATACACGTTTATACTACCAGAAAAGAACTAGGTAATTGAAAAATCACTGACAAAATATGCTGATCAGGAGTTGAAGGTGTTAGAATAAGGCTCAGAATAGGTCTACGTGTAATCAAATCTTAAAATCCTCTTGACACAGAACCCCTTCATTCTATCCTATCAGGGAAAGTATATTGAGTCCCCTGGACCATAGGTGAAGATGTCTGGGGGTGCTTAGAGCCTAGCACAGTGCCTGACACACAGCACTCCTCAATCATCCATTTATCCATTCAGCCAGAGTCTATTACATGTGTTATTTTTTTTTTTTTACTATGTGTTGTTCCAGTACCTGTGCACAAAAGGTGTGAATGAAAGAAATTTCCTCTTGAAGTGCTTACATTATAGTATGTACCAAAGGGAGTGACAAAATACAAAGTGACCATGGATTAGCTGTCATGGAAATATACCTCTCAAAATTATTCCAAGGACTAAATGAGTGAAAGCACTTAGGTGGCAAGTGGTAAGCATTGGGGAAGTGCTTGTCATTAACTGACTTCTATCTCTTCCATTGCTTAAAACAGCCTTAACCCCATATTGACTCCACAGTAGTTCCTCAAAAACACCCTCAACATTGCTTTGTTTCTGCAACTGAGGAAAATGAGGTATTATTTGGTACCAAAAATTATTTAACATCGGTTCAGCCCAGTCTGTTTGTCCCTCTACATGAAATGCGCTTCCCTAAATGCTGTGGGTCCAGTTACTTCTCATCATTCTGGTGTCAGTCCCAGCATCTCCTCCCCGGAGAGCTCTCTGGCCATCCTTCTTCTGTAAGTTCCGCTCGCTCCCATCCCTCGCTGTATAATTATCTTCCCATAACTCATCATTATCTGAAATTAACTCATGCAATTGTTTATTTATGTGTTTGCAGGCTGTCTCCCACTCCCTGCACATACTACAAGGTGAGCTCTTGGTAATGAAAGTGCTTTATTTTCTATCTAGTACACAAATGGGTGCCCAGGGACCAGACCAGTATTTGGCACATAGTAGATGTTTAATAAATGTTGGTTAAGTGAATGAATGGATATGTGTATACCACAAGCCAGGATCACTGCTATCTCTGTGTTACGGATAAGGACACTGAAGCACAGTAATGCCACACAGCCAACAAGTGCTCAAACTAAGACTTGAGCCTAGATAGCCTGACTTAGCATCCATGACCTTCTCCCGTCCCCTCTAGCTCAGACCCTGTTCAGGCAGAGCATTAGGCTGCCTGACACCAAACCCCCTGGAAACACAAGAATGATCAGCAGCATTCTAGATAACGCGTATACAGTAAGTTCTAGACGGTTTAAGTGGAGAGACCGGTACATGTAGAAGTAGTTCAGAAAAGAATGATCATGAAGATGTAAAATCTGAAAACCACTGGACTGGCATCAAGAAACCCTAGTGGCAGCCTCTTTCCTCTCTCTTCTGATTCATCTAATTGTCCCTGCTTCATCTTGTGCTGTCCTTGGGTCTCTTCTCAACGTGCCTGCCAGAGGGACCACTTCCCTGTGTCAGCCTCCCAGGGCTCCTCTCTTATCAGAGAGCCGATGGAGGCCTCTTTAAGAGCTGCAACTACGCATTCAGTAGTTGAAAAGGGGCAGACAGTAAACAGTCCTGGGTTCTCATAGACTCTAAGACGCGGGTGTTCAATGCTGACAGGACTTTCATTATACACCTCTCTATAATTTTCTGCTTAGAATGCATTGGTTTTCCCAACTTGGCATCCTTCTTTAATGAAAAAATTATAGGCCTAATTTCAAAAAATGAAATGTATGCAAGCTTTCCTGCTTCTGCCACTTCTTTATTCCTGTAGCACATAAATCATTTCCCTTTTTAAAATTAAATTTCGCTTGCCATGATTTGGTAATGGGTTTTCAAAGGAGGCAGAGTAGCCAAGCTCTTGGCACAAGAGCTGCCTGCACCGCTTGCTCAGGAAATCTTCTCATTGCTGTCTGGCAGGGGCCGCGATTCCATCATCTGGGCTTCATACTCCCCTTGGAAGTTGCCTAGGAACTCTCTCCCTAACGATTCCTTCTCTGAATGGCCTTTTGGGCCCTCCAGCTGCCATCTTGGAAGCCTGACGAACAGATAGAATTTGGGCAGAAAAAGACTAGTGCATTCTTGCACTCCTTGGGTGTTTACTCATTCATTTATGAGCACTGACTATGTATAAGGCAGAAGTCCAGGCGTTGTGGGGACACTAGCCTCGAGAGACTTAAACACCAAATTGTCTGAGATAAGACATGGAGCAGTGGTCCACTACAAATACTATTTGTAATCCTCTTAGCAGCCCTGCATTTTTACCCATGAGCAACCTCAGAGAGGTTAAGCACCTTCTACAGGGTCATAGGCCTGGCATGGCACTGACAGAGCTTTGCTAATCTTGCACACACACTCAGGCCTGCTGCCCCCGATGGGCACACTTTGGCCCTACAGAGTGAGAAAAGCATGCAGTTAAGAGTCAAAAGTTACTTTGAGGCTTGGAAAAAAAAAAAAGATATCTGCCAAAGCTTTGTAAATGGGAAAGCTTTGCCAGGTAATAGGCCCTGGGATTTGATCTGTAAGGGCTAATTGGAGGGAAGAGAGGCGTGAACGAGGGCCCGATGTCAAGGGAAGCTTCTCAGAGGAGGTGCATCTCCAACTGGACCTTGAAAGATTCAAGTAGGAGGAAGTTATTTCAGGTGAGGATGTGGAAATGACTTAGACTTTGAAACCCAAAGAAAGAGACTGTTTCCTGTGCCGTTTTTAGCTTTCAGCATAGACAAAAAGCAGCCTCCACAAGCAAAACTCTTTTCTTCCTAGATGTTACGTTCCCCTGAGATGGCATGCGCTCCCCAGTTCTTCTCTCACAGACCCTGTTGTGGTTGGGACCCGAGGGAGGCCTCTTGGAAGGAAAATCAACTTGTCTTTTATTAAGTCGGATCTTTCCCTGGGGTCTATAAGAAAGAAAAGGAGGGATGGACCAACTTCACAGTAGGAGATGAAGGCGTGAGATGCTTGCTTGATTTCCTGACTTCTTTAAAGGTAGATTTTAGACTGAAAAACAGCTGCATAATAATAATATTTCACATTTTGCTTTTGTTGCTGCTCTGTTACTCACAACTTTTTCAAAGATGTTTTTTCTTGTTGTTTGTTGTTGTGTTTTACTTTCTGCCTGTTATGAAAATTAATGGCGTCACTTTCATCTTTAATCATTGGACTTCAAGCTCCTTGAGGGAGTAAGAATCATACTTTATTCATGTTTTTGACAACATGCATTTGTTGAAGTGATATAAAAACTCTGCTACTTTCCAGAGGACCGCAAATCCCCTTTCCCATCATCTTACTCCTTTCTTAGATGAGTTATTCTCTCTCTCTGTCTCTCTCTTCCTTTCTCTCTCACTCTCTATCTCTCTTGTCTCTGCCTCTGTCTCTCTTCCTATCTACCTATCTATCTATCTATCTATCTATATCTATCTATCTATCTATCTATCTATCTATTATCTATTTACTTTCTGTTTTTTTCCTCTTCCTGTGTGTTACTAGGGATTAAACCCAGGGCCTTCACACTGAGCTAGGTCCCTGTCCCCCTCCACCTTTTTATTTTAAGACAGGGTCTCGCTAAGTTGCTAGATTGCTCATCCTGGGCTTCAACTGGTGATCCTTTTCCCTAGCTTCCCATAGTCCTGGGATTGCAAGGATGTGCTACCATACCCAGGTAAGGTACATATATCTTTGTCTCTATCATTCAGCTTTAGCTTACTGTGGACTTAATTCTTAAGGGAAAGTTTCTTGGTCAGTGGGACCAGGTTTTTCCTCAACATTTTTATCTTTTCCAACTCGAGGAACATTCTTCAGAAATTAGTCAATGTTGTTAGTTTAAGATTGTTCTTCTTTATGATGTTAAAAAGATCGTGGGGTCTGAACAATTTAGGTGGGTGTTCTTTCTGAGAAAGTGGAGGCTCATCCTTAAATTAGGACTAATATTAACCCATATTCAGAGATCACCACATTGACCATGCCAGCTCTAACTCACAGACGTCAGAATTCACTGAAGGTAAAGCAACAGAGGCTGGTTCATTTGCATCAGGGCACTGCCAGGTTCTAACTAAAGTGTGTACTTTCTGCATTGGGATCACAATACAGAGGACAGTTCAAGCTGGAGTCATATCACAAAGAGTTGAGAAAGAAAGACTTGGCTGGTATGTTCGTTATGGAGAAGATGACTCGGTGGGTGGCACTAGCACCCCAGGGATATTTTGTGAGTCATTGGCTCACTGCATAGCCTTTGTAGGCGACATTTTCTGTCTCCCAAGAGAGTCCTGTGGAAGATCTTAGACAAGGCGGGCTGGTGATACTCAAAGATTAGCAAATCACACTTTCTTCCTCTCAGTCCGCAGGATGAATATTATTGCCTTTCAAATAAGGGGTGGGGGGCAATGATAAGGAGTGAACCCAGGGCCTTGCAGTCAGTGAGGTCCAACTTCATTCCTTTTTATTTTAAAGACAGGATCTTGCTATGTTGCCCAGGCTGGGTTTGAGCTTGCAATCCTCCTATCTCATCTTCCCAGAGTTATAGGAGAGATCAAATATTTTAACAAGGATATCACACATACAATATCAGAAATAATACTTTGTCACTGAGCTAATTCCTGCCCCACTTCTAGAACACACGCTTCAGCAAGAGAGAGGACGCTGGCACCAGTCAGTTTTTTGCAGCTTGGTCTGAAGATGGCAGGTACTAGCCCGTTACCCTTGAAAGAACAGAGGTTGAAATCTCTCAGAACAAGCAAAAGCTAGAGAATGTGGCAGAGACAGCACCGAGTTGCATCCCTGACCCTCAGTGCAAGGCTCATCTTCGCGAGCTGAGAAGGTCGCCTCGGAGATATGGATAGCTGGAAGCCGTCCGTCCCACCTCAGCCCTGCCCCTCACTCTTCCTGCAGGCAGACGGGAGCGCTTCATACTTCTCAAAGCACCTTCACATAGTCTTGCTTCTGTGCAATTCTGTATAACTGGGGTGAAAAGTGTCATTGAGCTCCCATTGGGCAGTGTGAGAAGCTGGTCAAGCAGTGCAATGGTTAGGTGTTGGTGCAGTCGTAGTCGGGTCACCACAGAACTGGAGCACCAGATCTCAGCCTGTGCTCTCAGTGCCGTCCCGCAGCTGTGCCCAGCGCGGAGTGCACAGCGTCACGGCTGCAACAGCCTACACGGCAAGCCCAGTTATCCAGAGTTTTCTGTTAACAAGATGCTCCCCCTACTTCACCCCCTTGGTATAATATTTCAAAGAGGAAAGAACATAAATAGTCAAAAAGGGCTCATATGTTTTTCAAAATATTTTTCTCATTATGAAATTATTTCCATTATGGAAAGTACAAGTACAATAATAATAACTGGCACTCCTCTATGAGCATATGTCCCACGTCAGGCCTTATGCTAAGCCTCTACATACATGAGCTTGTTTAATCCTTACAGCATCACTGCAAGGAAGTTCACATGAACCATCACTTTGCAAGGACGGCAACACCAGCTAAGAAATGGGCTCAGAGTCACATCATGAGTAAGTGGTCAAGCTGGATTCCAGTTCAGGTTTATCTGGCTGCAAAGCTGGCATGCTTGTCCTCTCTGATGTTGCATCCCTGCATATCAGCAAAAATCTCATCAGTATCTCAATTCCTCTCCCTGCATACCATCGACAGTCTCATCAATGTTAATCTCTTTCCATCCAGGCTTTTCCTAAAACATTCATATTTACTTAAGAACATTTTCATATCTTAAATGTTTGATTATTATAAAGTAAACATTTCTCTATGTTAGTATAAACATTTTATGAACACCATTTTAATAGTTGCATAATATTGCATAAAATAAATTTATCAAAGTTTACATAGTCTCGTCTGGAGATGTTTAGATCATTTCCTCCCTGGTTTGGTTTTGGTGTTGTGTATAATATGTAATTAACACCATGGTGGACATCTTTATATGTAAAAGTATCAGCATTTTGATGATTTTGCTGTGAAAGACTCTTGGCATCTCTTACTGCTAGAATTATTTTCCTTTTAAGCAAAAGCAAAGATATCAGATAATCAGAGCCTTCTGTCAATTGAGTGTCTCCCGAACCTCCTTATAGTGCTGGTGGAGGGAACCAGGAACCAGTGTGTAGAATAAAGATCCAGAGCTTCTGCATACCTGTGGAGCACAGCGCATACTGTGCTTAGGCAAGAAAGTGAACTCGGACAAAGATTCGTGTCTGCGTTATCTTCTGAAGATCTCACTGAAAATTTGATTCTTCATTTCTCTTTTAGACCTCTTCAAGTTGAATAAACAATATCCCACTACCAAAGTTTTTTAAATTGACAAATAAAAATTATATATATTTATTGTATAAAATATATTCTTTTGAAATATGTACACCTTGTGAAATAATTAATTACATATACATTGCTTCACATACTTCTTCTTTCATAAGAACACAAAATCTACTTTCTTAGCAAATTTCAAAAATGCAATACATTTGTAAGTATAGTCACCATGTTGTGTAATGGATCTCTCAAACTTATGCCTTCTATTTGACTTAACTTTTGTATCATTTGACCTACGTCCCCACCCACTCCTGACCCCATCCTTGATAAACAATATTCTACCTTCTACTTCTTTTCTTAATTAATTTTATTGGTACCTTTTCGATATACATAATGATCACATTCATCAAGGAATTTGTACCTGTACTTTTTATATCTTGGTTCTTCTTTTTTTCCTCTCCATTCCCCTCCCCTCCCTTCAACCCTTCTTCCCCTCCTTATTTACAAAAGCTTTGTTTCCATTTTTTGTCCTTCTGCTTTCTACTTCTATAAGTAAAGCTCAGCTCCTCCTTCCTCAGCTGTTCCTGTGTAGGTCTGTGGAGGAAATGTTGAGCTGCAGCCGATGAAGATGTGAGCGATACCGTGTCATGTTTGTTTTCTGTGCCCCGCTTCTTTCACTTGATATAATACCCTTCTGGTTCATCCCTGTTGTTGCGAATGACAGGATTTCCTTCTTCTGATTTCCTTCTTCTGAAGGCTGAGTGACATTATATTGTGCATATATGCCACATTTTCATCAGTATTCCTCTGTGGGTGGACACTTAGGTGACTTCTATCCCTTGTCTTTTGTGAATAATAGAGTAGTGAACATAAAGTACAGGGGTTTCTTCCACATACTGACTTCATCTCCTTTAGCTATGATTCCAGTAGTGGGGCTCCTGGATCACACAGGAGTACTATTTTAATTTTTTGAGGTGCTTTCATACTGTTTCATGCAATGGATTTACTAATTTACATTCCTCTGCACCAACAGTTTAATCACACTTTATGCACACGTAAGATTGAGACTTGGTGCTTTCACAACGTCTAGCATTGAAGCCAGTTGCAGGGCTAATGGAGATTGGAAATTGGTAAAGGAATGATTGCCACCAGCTCCTCCTTCCTCCGCTGTTTCTGTGTAGGTTTGTGGAGGAACTGGAGAGCTGCAGCCAGGGCAGACATGAGGTAGTGTGGAGAGAAGGAGCAACAGAAGTTAAGAGCCTGTTTCTTGGGCATTTACAGCCTCAGGTAGAAGCCTTTGCCTGGGTCAAAGTGCAGAGCCAGGATTTTGGAGGGATATACTCTATGTTATTAATTACCCAGAGCTTAAGAGAAAACACAGTGTACCAGGAAGGGCACTGGTCGGAGAGTCAAACCCTCTTAGAGGGTTCCGAATATGACTCTTGTACCAGATAGGGAGCTTCAGCTTACCTTTATGGTCTTGTGTTTCACGCAGGAAGTGAAATGTTGGACCATATTTTTCAGCCTATTTGCATCACAGGTCCTTTTAAGAACCCGATGAAAGTTGTGAATCTTTTCATGGAAACATAATTGTTATAATAATGAATTTGAATTACGTTGTTAGCAAAAATGAGCAAAACAAGCAAATATAGAACATTCCGCATATACTTCTTAGGATTCATAGAGAATATGAAATCTTAGACGCAGAACCACTGGTCCAGGTGAACTTTAAGATCCGTTTCTGTTCTCACATACTTACATGCTACTGGTGTAACATATAAACAAAAAAAAGTCATTTCTAGTAATTTTCCTTAACCTTTATACTTTAACTGTGATGATTCATTTTCTGAGAATTCTGGTTTAACCAAAATGTAACAACACTGACAATAGCTCATACCTGTTAGGGAAAGTTAATCAGCTGTCTGACATTGTGCTGGGTGTGTAACCGTATCTTGGATCTCTAAATGATATCTTTTTAATGAATTGTGTTTGTTTCATATGATTAATCACTTCAATAAAAAACCTTAGTGAGGCCAACTTTAGCATTTATTGATCACCTACTATATACATTCCATGATTCTCCCAACAATACTCTGATGGAGGGGTTGTTGTCCCTATCTTGCAGGCGAGAAAATAGAAGTTCAGAGCTATTTAAGGAAGTCACTCAGCACACTAGTTAAGAAAAGGAGCTTGGGTTCAAACCCTGCATTGTGAAACTGAAATCAGCACTCTTAGATGTTGGCTTGTGCTGCCCTTTTTGGTATCTGGTTGGCTATTCTGAACAATTTAAATAGTAATTACAGGAATCTGACTTGTGTGCAAAATATCTGGGATTTCTGTCAAATGCATAAGACAATGCTCCAACAGGGGAAGCTGGGTTTTTTGTTTTGTTTTGTTTTTCAAATTCACCTGCATAAACTTTGCTTCTCCATCTCTGAGCCATGAGTTTAAAGGTGATTGTTTCCCTCACTTTATTGGACATCTCTGAGCACTTGCTGTGGGTGAGTTGTTAGACTGAGAAGCCTTGGAGGATGCCAAATTTCTGCTTTTAGCAAGCTCAGCATCAGGGCTGAGGTTCCTTTTCTGTGCGTTGCTGCATGGCTCCATTCTCTAAGGTCAGTGTGTTGTCTGCACTCTAGTTTACATAGACAAACTAGACTCGCAGCTCATACCCAGTCTCTGGTCTACTGTAGTGTTTTACTGGAACACTGTCACACACATGCGTTTGCATCTCACCTATGACAACTTTTGTGCTATGATGGTAGCGTTGAGTATAGCCCTCAGAGCTGAGAATTGTTACTTGATCCTTTACAAGAAAATATCTTGACCCTGATATAAGCCAATTAGGCATTCTAGTTCATCAATTCTAAAACACACCATTTCTAAAACACATCATTTTTAGGTACCATGCTGCTGATACAGTGAAAAGCATTACTGATTATAATTATAAAAAGCTGTCAGTTGGGAGACCACCAATTCTGGAGACATTGAAATGTGAAAAAAAACATGCATCTTACAATTGAAATTCAGTACTGTCAGAGTGAAGTTTTGGAGACATTAAAATATAAACTGTAAATATAGATTGCTTTAAGACAGTGTTACCCAGCCCATTACTCACCAGTCTATGGACTCACCCTCAAAGCTGTAACAACGGGCCATGTGAGGAGACCCAGGGAACTAGAAAAGTACTGGCTTTTTGGCATCTGTCTTCCCAAAGGCTGTTGCTAATAATGTGTAGAAGAAATATTTTGGCATTGTCCTCTGATACTATTTTCAACTCCTGTTAGTATAAATATTTAGGGTGTCTCAGTACAGTGAGTTGTGTGGCAGTAAGATTCTTGGTTCTTTTATCTTAGGGCTGGAATATTTGAACAGTATGCATGGTCTTAAAATGTGTTTTGAAGCTACGTACAAAAGGCTTTGTCGTAGTTTGGAACAGGAATCTTCTCAGATGTTGCTTATGGTCAGATTCTCACCAGTCTGAAAAATATGCTAATTATATACAAGGCTCTGAACAGAAAGAGTGAACTCAATATTACAATTTTAAACTTCCTCAAAACAGAATTGGGACTACGTAACAGGAAGTAGTGATTAATACATAAACAGCACGTGTCTCATAAGGGTGCAGAAACTGTCCACTTTGTGCACACACATTTGTAGGTGCTCGTAAACTGCCCCATGAGCATCCATATTTACGAAAATAAGTCATGTTATATTTTGTTTTGTTTTCTCTTCTTTTTTTTCCTTCAAAAATAGATGTTTAGGAATTCTGAGTCAGACCTCGTGTTATTCGGCTAATTCAGCTGCAGAGTAAGTTATTAATAACCCCCAGATGTTGTTTATAATGATTGGGTATTTTCGGTTGTGAAATAATATTTTCTTTTGTGTGTGTGCAAGTGGTGTTTCTTAATATGCTCTACAGCGTCTGAATAAAAGTTTGATGGCCGAGCAGTTTGCATGTCGAATATAATTGCTGCTAAGTGGGCTCTTCATTCTTCACATTTTTAGCTCTAATTGCTTTTTTTCCCATATATCTAAAAATAAATATTTGCAAGTTTTGTGTTCGGCTACTCATTGTAATACACAAAATATTTGTACACTGAGCAAAACTCACTGATAATGTTCGCAATGGGCTATTTAGAGAAAGTAAGGTTGGTGTGGTAAGAGGAGATAAAATACATTTTTATTAGTACAAATGTCAGAGTAAGCCATTTATCTTATTTTGAAAGAATATTTTTAAAGGAGTGGCCAGAAATTTGACCCCGGGGATGATTTAAATAGATTCAGTTGGAAGAAAAGATCCAGTGTCAAAAAATAGTCTGTTTTGCTATATAATGAATATTTTAAGTGATCTTTGAAAGATGGCAATTAATTTTTGATTATCGGGGACAAAGGCCCCACTCTGTAGATTATCCAAGTCCCTGACTTTCTGGGCAGCCTGTTTCTCCCTCCATTTGTATTTATTCCAGCTCATTAGCACCTCCACCCGAAGGCTGGCAGAGAAAAGGAGAGGAAGAAAAAGTGAAATCACTTCTGCTGCTCTTAATGGCCCTTGGAAAGAATGGATCATGAATGAAATAGGAACCAGTGGGAAAAATAAGCTATCAGATTTTCTGCTTCCTTTTATTCCTGCTTCCTTTCTCCGGCATGAATAATCAATAGGTAGCTTAAAGCCTTTTAAATGAACTCTATATCGGAAGGCTTTGCAGTTATAAGAGCAATATCATTTATTCTTTTTATACTGCCAGAGACTGTATAAATGCCAGAGAGGTAAATATTGCCCAGTCTCTACGTTGGCATGAGATGTGCTCCTGAGGTTTTATTTTTTTCCCCCAATCAGCAGCAATGCACAGAAAACAACAACTTTTATGTGCATTCAGAAATAAACATCTGCTTGACCACCGTATCATGTGATCGTGTCTTATGATCCTGATCTGGTGATATTATGCATTAATAAAAGTTGGCAGGTTTGGTCTTCCTCCTCATATTGACTTCTTAATGTGTTGTTATATTTACAGTGCACCTAAAACAAGCTGTGTCAGGACAGCTG